TTTGATTGGTCAACTATCTTTCGGTTAATTATCTTTTGGTTAATTAACCAGGTTAATTAACGCCCATCCCTAATTCCTAAACACCATCCAATCAAAATTCAGTAAAACTCCGCTTCCTTAAGCGTTTTTTTTCTAAAACAAAAAATATATTTTCTTCTGAAATTATATCATGAGATTTTACATTTGAAATTCTTATTAACGGTAAGGTTTATATTTAAAAAAAAAATCACGTACTAAAGCACAAACTTAAATTAAATTTATTTTTTTCAAGATACAGAGTTGGTATCTTATTCGCAAGAAGCTATTGATAAAAGAAATGTTCTAAAAAGAAAGGTAATAACGGGTTATTAACTTTTTATTTTTATCATTTTTTTTTTTTGTTACATCATACTTATGATTATATTTTTTTATTTTATTTTTATATTTTAGTAAATATGTGACTTATGTTGCAGTTCCGGAGTTTTCCAGTCATTTGCTATTAGAGTTGGAGTAGTAGATTCCGCTTTTCAGACATTTTTAGGTTGGGCTCGACTTGTTTTAGGAGCATGATGTGAATATTACACTTCAAAGAGTATCTATGAATTCAAATGACGTGTACAAAAGATTTATTACAAACAAATTAAGTCAGTGTTCGGAACTATCAATTCTTGATTGTTCACAGAGTCGACTTGGAAAAGTGTCAGTTATGTTGTTAATGTCGTTCATAGTACAATATCATGTTAGCGAAAGGAATTGTTTTTGGTCAACCAAGCAGCAACACGCTTGAGGGAGTTTGGATATTGGTTGTTTGATCGATATCTTCACCTTTGAGGCGCCAAAGGTTTCAGAGTATAAGGCATGCGCTCGAACGTCACGAGAATAACCCATGATTCCAGTTAAACCGTGTAAAGATTGTGTTAGAGATCGTCCTAGGGAGCAGTAAAGAAGTACTTTCTTTCTCTTGTTTAAGGGTACAAATAGTATTTTGTCTGGTGTGGGTGAACGTTAACTTGTAGAAGGCTTCCTACAATTAATGTGACAATTCTCGGTTGAGTGATTCAATTAACATTCTGGATGAAAGATTGCGAGATGTCAGGTAAGTTTCGTTGTGTAGGTAATCAATAGAGGCGTTATTAATTGACCAAGACGTTTTCTCGAAGTATAGAAGGTTTCCGCGATAGATACAAGCCATTTGACAAAATTTTTTTTTTAAATTTTTTATAATCTTTGGTTTACGTCACCAAGATTCGATGGTGGTGCGTCAGGGTAATCTCGACTAGAAAGGCCAGTCCGAAATTTTATACTCAGTATCAAACGTATTGATACTATTAATACGGTAGGTCATCATAAAGAAGTTTTATTTTTTCAGTTTTAAAACTTTTTCATTTATTAATCAAGAAATATTATTATTATTATAATGGATCGATTTTGGAAATATATACATATTTTTTTTTTTGAATTCAATTCTTAATTTATTAGTAGCAATTTAAGGCCATTATTTTAAAAATATTCAGTTGCTCGGTTTTGAAATTTCAATTTGAATTTCGAACCCAAAAAATTTTCTTTTTTTGGTTAAATATATTGCAAATTTATAGTTCAATATTAATGATGGATTAAATATTCCTGATCCAAGCAAACATTGCACACAGAGAACTTACAAATTTTTTTTTAATAAAAGTTGCCTCCCGAAATTTGGAGGCGACTTTTATTAGTTTAAAGATGCAATTTTGCCTTTATAGGTTGTGTAGGGTCGTTTTGAAAGGGTTAGTTATACGACGATTATGCGTTTTTTTTATTTAATGATTGTACAAAATTATTATCTGAATAAAACTATCAAATAGATCTTTTTTTTAAGATAAATAAAGTGATCCTTATAACTATCTATAAATGCACGCATTGTGAATTCCCTTCCAAAATTAAATCCAAGCTCATTCATTCATCGTCTCGACCCGTCCCTATTATGTTTTCTACTGTCCCAACTGTCCCACACTTCTTCTCCAAAATTCCATCCTTGATAGGGGACATGTCAATTGGTTTCGAAGAACCGTGGATGTTATTTCTACATACATTTCTAGATAGTTTAATAGTGCGAAATAGTGTGAAAAAGAGTTAAAAAGAGTTAAAAGAGTCTCGTAAAATAAACTTTAACTATATAGAAATTCTACACCAAAATGTAAAACAAACCTTAATTATTTAATCTTTTTCCAAAAAGCTTGCGAATTTCGCATTCGCTTATAAAGATAAGCTTTACAGTTTTAAAAACTGTATAATTGAGCATATATATACTGTTTAATTTTAGAGTTGTCAGTAAATGACAAGGAACATGTATGTATTGTTTAATAACGTCAGGAATATACATTTTTTTAAAATAGAATTTTGTGAATTTTTGATTTTTTTTTTTTTTGTTTTTTTAAAGTTTGATATCAAATCACAAATTTTTATCACGATAACGGGAAAAATTCCGATTTTATTCCGATAAAAATTACCAATTATGGT